GATTTTGATAGTGATTCCAGTTCAATAAATGCTATCACTGTTTTCCATTTCTAAAGATATGTTCAGATTTAGTGATGTTTACCTTTTCACAAAGGTAGTCAATTGCCATCCCAAAGTCTATCGAAGATTGGTTTTATATTAAGATTTATATAACTGATAATGTGAATATATTTAAATACTAGAGAAATCCCCTCACTGTCTCAGAACCAAGCAAGACTCACTGATGTTTTAATTGGTGTTCGTTAGCCTGTTAAAGGTGAGGGCTGGAGAGAAGGTAGCAATGTTTGTTTTGTACTTTTAATCTTTATTATGCCAATCTAATTTCCCTGGATCTACTAAAATGCTGCCTTTTATTTATCGAAAGGCATTTTAGTGTGGTTTATGTGTAACGTCAAATAAAGAATATTTAACATTTCTCTTATTTTATAGACAATCTATAAGGCCATGATTTTAAAAGTCAATATGTCAAGAAATGGCAAATTTATTATTTACTACCTAAGTCAGGCTAAGTTATAATTTGGGATTGTCTTTCAACAACTCTTCAGAAACACATAAAACTATATAACAACTGTATGTGTGTGATTGGTAATGGTGCTTTTGTCAACTCATTACGTGGATTAAAATAGAAGAGATATACACAAATTTTAAAATTATGTGTGAACATAATTAAAAACAAAAATCATAGGTCAAAAAAAAAAAAGAAGTAACTTAAAAACTTCTGAAAAAAGGGTAAATCTCCAATAGGATGCTTTTAGCTTTTTTTTTTTCTGTTTGGAAAAGTGATTACTCAGTGTCATCTGTAAAATCTCTCTTGCTTCCTTTAATCTTAATACTGTAGAACCATTTCCCATTTGATACAAAGGTTGGAAATTAAAGGCATTTTCTTGGCTCACGCCTATAATCCTAGCATTCTGGGAGGCCAAGGCACGTGGATTGCTTCTACTCATGAGTTTGATGCCAGCCTGAGCAAGAGTGAGACCCCATCTCTAAAAATAGCCAGGCGTTGTGGCGGGCACCTGTAGTCCCAGTTACTTGGGGGGCTAAGGCAAAGAGAATGGCTTGAGTCCAAGAGTTAGAGGTTGCTGTGAGCTAAGATGCCACAGTACTCTATGAAGAGTGAACAGGTGAGACTGTCTCTAAAAAATGAATGAATCGGGCGGTGCCTGTAGCTCAAAAGGGTAGGGCACCAGTCCCATATGCCGGAGGTGGTAGGTTCAAACCCAGTCCTGGCCAAAAACTGCAAAAAAAAAAAAAAAAAAAAAAAGAATGAATATATAAATAAAGGAGTTTTCTAAGAAACTACCCTCAAGTCACCATACTTATCTCCTTATAACCTGTCGTATGTATTTAGAAACACTTTTTTTTTTTTTGAGACAGAGGCCCGCTGTGTTGCCCTGGGTAGAGTGCTGTGGTGTCACAGCTCATAGCAACCTCAAACTCTTGGGTTTAAGCTATTCTCTTGCCTCAGCTTCCCAAGTAGCTGGGACTACAGACACCCGCCACAATGCCCAGCTATTTTTTGTTGTGGTTATTGTCGTTTAGCTGGCCCGGGCTGGGTTCTAACCGGCCAGCTTCGGTGTATGTGGCCAGTGCTATAACCACTATGCTACAGGTGTTGAGCCATAGAAACACTTATCTTTTGGAAGGAGTGAAGGGGCAAGAGCCTGGCAGAGGGAGTATTAAATGAAGTCCTTACAAACTGCTGGGGAGGGCCATTGGCAAGGGAGATTTCTGAAGCTGGAAGAGACTTTTTAGACCTTTCTGTAGCTCAAGGCTGGTTTTCTCTTTTGTAGGTGTGATGGCTGTGAAGCAGTTCTGTTGGGCATCGAGCAGCAAGTTCTGAGAGCCAACCAGTACAAAGAGAACCACAACCGAACTCAACAGCAGGTAGAGGCAGAGGTAAGGAAGAAAGGGAATGTTTGTTCTCTCTCCAGGGCATGCCTATTTATTCCTTTGCATTGTTTTTGTTTTGTGAGTACTAGTATAGATGAAAGAAGCAGTCAGTTTATAAACAGGTGCTGGAATACCAGAATGACTGTGATGTGGCTCCTGCTTTTGGTGGTCTTTATCTCCTTTCTGATTCCTGGTCTGGAGAGGGAGATCGGGCCTGGAGAACAGGGAATGTTGTAGTTTTGGTACACATGTACTTTGCAGCTGTAGAACAAAAGAGAACAAGTTTGAGAATGGCTAGAAGGATGGTAGTTAGTGGAGTGGAGGGAGGAGTGCAATTGGGCAGGGACACATGGGGCTTCAAGGTATGGTGATGTTCTACCTCTTAAGTTGTGCGGTAGGTGCCTACTGTTAATTTTATTTCTCTTCTCTAAACTGTACCTATATATTATAATCTTTTTGTTTGTTTGTTTGTTTTTGCGGTTTTTGCCTGCGGCTGGGTTTGAACCTGCCACCTCTGGCATATGGGGCCGGCGCCCTACCCTTTTGAGCCACAGGCGCCGCCCATCTATTATAACTTTTTAAATGCATGATATATTTCATACTAATGAAAGAAGAAAAGGATAAAGTTTAGTGGATGAGATGCAAGGGAAGGTACAAGAGTGTGCTTTTAGTGATACCTGATTTGTT